GATTGTAGAGTGGAATATAATAAGATAAAGTTAGAAACTCTTTTTGAACTATTGGGCTCATTTTGTCCTTACCCCAGAGTAGAACTTCTACACTAGGGTAAATCTCTTAAAGTTGGGGTGTGGCTCATGTCTAAGGTATCTTCAAAAGGATATTAATAGGTGCCTTCTAGAAAAGTTAATTGATGTACCCAAGGTAGGTGGCAAAGTGGATAGAGAACCAGAAGTCAGATACCGGGAGTCCAGCCTGAAGTCAGCAAGACTCATCTTCCTGAGTTCAAATGTGGCCTCGGACATTAGCTGTGTGACGTTGGACATGTCACTTGACCTGGTTTGCCTTAGTTTCCTCATATGTGAAATGAGCTGGAGAAGGAATGGCAAACTACTCCTGTATCTTTGCCAAGAAATCTCCAGATGGGGTCACAAAAAGTTGGACATGACTGAAACGACTGAACAACAACAAAGTATAATGGATGAAATAAGGAGGCAAGTGGATAAGGCCTTGCTGGAGATCTTCAAACAAAGATTGGATGAAAACTTCTCAGAAATACTGTTGAGAGGCTTCTTGGTCCAGTGTGTATCAGACCAGATGACCTTGGAGGTCTGACTATGATTCTGAATCCCTCAGATACCCATTCATAGGACTAAGCTTCCTCTCTGAGGAGATATCAGGTCTCTGCAGAACAGCTATTTATTTTTTCTACCACAAATAAAGTGCTTATAAGAAAGAAGACCAAACTGTATTCATTGACAAATAGTTAAAGCATAAAATGACTTTTATACTCTTCTGAGAGGCAAAGACTTCCAGGAGAGTTTTGGGTTTGCTGAACAGTTACCTCAGATATGTACCATCTGAGTACTCATTCAAGACCCACATCTCCTGCCCAGCCAGGAATGCATGGCTCGTTTTCTTAGGGGTGGTGGTGATGATCTTTTCCTCAAGACAAAGGTGTAGGAAGCTCCTCCCACTGGGCAACCAGTGCCTTGACTGGACCTCTCAATGATTTTAGACCTCTCCAGCTCATGAGGTAGCTCTCAAGTCTAGGGACATTCTTTTCAGGATTGATGCTGGGTTACCCGTGCTCAGGAAAACTATCCAAAGCAAAAGAAGCAGTGAAAGACTTGAGTCTCAGGCTCAACTCAGTAAAACATTCTCACTATCATATTGCCTGTAGTCACATTTACTGTTCCTAAGGAGGAGAAAAGGGAGGGAAACCTTCTTACACACTTGCTAGAAGTCCAAGAGAGAATTGGTGAAGTCCCAAACCACACTTTGGAAGATGGGTTAAGAGAGATGGAGTGGTAGGTGTTTCATTTCTTCCTTTAAGCCTTCTGAGTGGGTGGCCTCTTAGCTCAGTGGCCAATTCTCTTTGGCACAGTCTCTTTGTCATGGTGACTAGGGGGCCATCCAGGAGCCTCTCCAGATTCTGGTTGTTCATGTCCTTTATTTAGCATCACGTGTGTCACCAGAAGTGACAAAACACATGGGGTGTATCAGAAGAAGGGGCTAAGCTCCCAGTTCCCTTGAATCTTAGGAGGTTGTACTTTATCATAGAAATTAGGCTCTGATGACAGCCAGATTATCTGTAACTTTGGAATTCGCCAGGCCTGAGGCAGCCTGGTAAAGAAGAGGGAGTACTGGCTTCAGAGACAAGACCCTAATTTGAGTCTGGCTCTAAACATTACTTAGCTGTGATTCTGGGCAAGTCAATCACTTCAATTGCTTCATTTGTAAAATGAGAATAATATTCACACTACCTTCTTCACAGGATTATTGTGAGGAAAGTACCTTTAAGTATTATATAAATGTGAACTATTCATTCCTATTAGTGGCTGTTGGGGAGTGTGTGTGTGTGTGTGTGTTCTAGGTTTGGCGCCAGAATGGAGAGGCAAATAGCAAGAACTCCTGAGCTTATGGAGGTTGTGTAATAAGGGAGCAGAACTGGGGAGGGGGGGTCCTTCCTATTTGTGGGGAGTAGCCCCCCCATGTTAAGCACCTGTAGTATCCCAGCAAAGCTGCTGACTGTAATCCTAGAGGAAGAGCAGGTGGGTAAACCATTGTTAAGGGAATTCTTTGATAGTAGGATCCAGAGTGTACCCCAAACTTGGGCCCCATTTCTGTGACCCACCTTTCCTAGGTTCTCAGCTGTCTCACAGAATGTCAGAACTGGAAGAGACTTTTGAAGTCATAATCCAATCCCTTCACTTTTACAGAGGACAAACTTATAATGATAACAATAATAGCAGCATGGTCTAATCACTAGTCACTTCTGGGTCCTTGGGTGTGGCCTTTTGACTGAGTCCAACTTTTACAGAAGAAATCCTTTTATGAAGGGGATTTGTTCTATGAAGTTTGGATTCAGTCAAAGGGCTGCACTTGAAGACCGAGAGGATCCCACGTGGCCCTGAGGTCCCTGGTCTAGTCGATAGGGAGACTGGAAGCCAGAAGGACCTAAGTTCAAATCCTGTCCATGATACATACTGACTATGTGACCTTGAACAACTTTCTAAGACTTTAAGTTGTAGAGAAGTGGCAACCTGCATTGGAAGAGGGATTTTCCTCACCTAAGAGTTCCTTATTGCCTTATGGAATCACAGGTCTAATCTTCCCATTCCCTATTCTTAAAAAGTACAAACACAGATCTATATAGTACTTTTCAGTTTAGAAAGCATTTTTCCCCTACAACTCTCTTCGAGACAATCAATGCAAAAATTATTACCCCCATTTTGCAGATAAGGAAGCCAAGGAAACAACAAGAAATAAGTTGCAGATTTGAAGTACTTGAGTCTTATTTGATTCCAACCTCAACACCTATTCCACTACTCCACTCTTCTCCTGCTTTGCAAATCTTAAAAGCCACATGTAGGTTATCAGCCATCAGCATTACCATCAGGCTAGGGGATGAAAAGGTCTCAGGAACATGGAACCAACCATTAAATAGGAAATTCACTTGGGACCTCCTTAATGATAAACAACTAGATATAGGAACCATCTTTTTATTTTTGTGTATATATTATAAAGTAGTTACATATGTATATATTACATATAATGCCCCTATGTGTCATGCATATATATGTATGCTATACCCCAGGTACACTTTGCTTCTGGATCTGTAAAATGGAGATAATGATGTGTTACAATACCCACTGGAATTTGGGAAAGAACTTTATAAATGGTCGGGTGCTATATAAATGAGTTCTTGTTATCATCATTATTATATGTAATAGAGGTGTGTGTGTTTCACTATCTGTAAAATGAGGGATTTAGTTTATGTCATTAAGAGCCAGTGATCCTTTAACATACACAGTAAAGGTGTGTCAGAAACTATAGTTAGTGTGTATTATTATCATTGTGTTCAGTTACCCTGGCAGGGTTTTGAAAACCAGCTTTCCTTGTTTCTCTGCTGCCAAATCTAGTCTTTGGATTTCTTCCAAACTCAACTCCACCACTCACCTCCTTTTGGAAACCTTCCCAGACTAACTTCACCCTATGATGTCATGTTGCTCCAATCTCTACCAAAGTACTCCTTTCTTCTACCATTCTGACTGGATGTGATATTATATAACAATAACAATGGCTGACAATTTATAGTGCATGTTAAGGCTTGCAGATTGCTTTGCTTTATGTACAGCATAATATCTCGTGTAGTCTTCACACCAACTCTGTGAGTAGATGCTATTATTATTTTGGTATTACTGATAGGGAAATGGAGGTTCAGAGAAATTAAGTGACTTGCCTAGAGTCACACAGCTAATTCCTGGGTAAGCTTTGAACGTTAAGTCCTGCCTCCAAAGCCAGCAATCTAGCCTCTAGGCCATGTTGTTCCATGCATGTCATTCTGATGTGTGTAGAAGGGTAGATATCTGGGATCCAATTCCTCCAGGAACAGACTCTCCCTGTTTCCCAACAGGTTGGTCCATGCTAAGTTACATAATCATAGCTGGTAAATTTTTATTACATACACATTTCATCTGATCCTTACAACATCCTATGAGCTACTATGGCATGGACCGGATTCTTTTTCTGTGTGTCCCACCGTCCCCATCAGATGAGTTTCTGAAGAGCCAAGGCCCTCCTCAATATCCCTATCAAACTAATTCCCTGAAGGCAAAGGCTGAGACTCTTCCCTTCAGACTAGGTTCTCCTTGAGGGAAAGAGCTCTCAGGTAGCTTATCAGACCAAAGGTTCCCTTTTAGTAAGTAGAGCCAGACCAGGAGTCTCATAGTACTAAGTAGGGGGGCAGAGAAGGCGGCAGGTTGCAGCAAACTGAAGGAAGCCAGCAACTGGACATTTTTTTTTTTCGCGCAAACGCTTTAATTGCAAAAATAAACACAGTTTTATCACCTGCCTGAGAGCAGCATCTGCTTTACAAAATCGATAAATAAATAATAACCAGAAAACCGAACGCCGTACCCGAGGGTTCCTCAGACAGATCTGTACAAAGAAACACTCTCCCTAACCCGTCCAGTGGGCTGGATGGAGGGTTATACCTCTGCCAGCCCCCCGCGTCTGGGTGGGGGGGGGCGTGAGGGGAGTCGGGGCCCAGAGTAGAAAAGACAATCGTCTGTGTCCTGAGTCTTTGAAAAGAAAAGTGCCTGGTAGGAGAGATAGGGCTCCCTGGGCCAGGAGCTCCGGAGGAGCTGTCCTCGGGCAGTGGTGCTGAACAGTCAACCTTCCAGGCTTGGCCGGGCACACTCAACTAAAACCAACTTGCGGCGACCCTCGGACAAAACCGAGAAAAATTAAGATCGCCCCCTGGCGTTGGTCCGGAGTGGCAGTAGGGAAAAGGGATTGGGGCGGGGAGAGGGGGATGGCGGGACCCATTAGAGGAATGGGACTGGGGGACCCTTGGGGTTCTGGTCCCGGTTCAAAGGATGGGGCGAGGACGAAGCTAGTCGAGGGTTTGGCCTCCTGACATCAGTGCCAACAGTAGGCTGTCTCTAGTCATAGCGCAGAGCCTCCGTGGTCATCCAGTACACTGTAGGGCGAACTAAGAAAGAGTTTAGAGGGCAGCAAAGGAGAGGCCCAGAGCGTAAAAGCCCAGCCCCTTGAGTCTCTCCTCGGCCCGGGCCTTCTGCTTCAGATGCACTTTGCCGTGACGTTTCTTCTCGTCGCTGCGCGCGAAGCGACGGCCACACACGTCGCAGGCGAAAGGCTTCTCACCCGTGTGGGTGCGCACGTGCGTGGTGAGGTGGTCACTGCGGCTGAAGTTACGCAGGCAAATCCGGCACTGGAAAGGCTTGTGGCCAGTGTGGATGCGCAGGTGGCGGTTGAGCTCGTCCGAGCGGGCGAAGCTGCGGACGCAGCTCTCCACCGGGCAGGCGAAGGCCTTGGCGTGGGGCCGAGGACAGAAACAGCGAGGACTGCACTTGCCGCCCCGCCGCCCCTTACGCCTAGGCTCAGCCTGTGCGGGCTGCGGCGGCTGCGGCGGCTGAGATGGCTGCGGAGCCGCCGTCGGTGGTGGGAGCTGCGCAGCCCCAGGGAAATCAGTCGCAGTTGGTGGCACTACCGAGAAGTCTGAGGCTGGGCCAGGGAGGGCGAGGCTGAGTGGGGAAGGTTGCGCCCGGGCTAGCAGGTCCCCACCGCCGCCGCCCTCCCCGGGGGGGCTCAGGCTGAGCCCTGGCTGGAGGCCCTCGCCCCCTTCCCCAAAGTCGCCCGAGGGCAGCTGACTGGAGCTGGACAGGGAGAAGGCATCATAGGTGCCACCGTACATTCTGCTGGCCGGGCCTGGCAGCTCCGCGGGACAGCTGATTTGCAGCAGATCCTCTATCTTGGAGCCCAGCGGGGGGAAGCCAGCCTCGGGGCTAGGCTGATAGCCTCCCTGGGGCAGATAGCTGGGAGTACCTGCCGACAAGAGGTCCCAAGGCCCGTAGGGGGCTTTGAAGGCCGGAGCGGCGTCTAGGGCGGGCGAGACAGGAGGGGCTCGGAGGCCCGGCTTGACGTCGGGTGGGGACGGCTGAGGCTCATAGAGGCACTGCGGGGAGGCGCCCGCAGTCGGTGAGGTCTCCCACGGCGTCTCCGGAAAGGGGGTGGCGGAGCCCAGGTCAGGCGGGAAGAGGTCCAAGGGCCCAGCCAGTGAGGTGTCCGGGCTAGTAGCGTACAGCGCGTCCAGCGGAGCCCGAGGGACAGCCCCGTCCGGCCCAGGGAAAGGAGCCAGGCCGAGGATCCCCGACATGAGGTTGAACAGGGCCTCCTGGTCGTGTGGGTGCTCGGGAATGGCCTGGATGAAGAAGCTGCCAGTATAACTGAGGCCAGGCTGGGGTGGGGGAGAGGGACCCTCCAGAAAGAAATAATCTGAGGTGTCACAAGTACCACTCAGCGCAGAGCTCAGGAAGTCACCTGCAGGGAGAGAGCAGCGGAGACCGAGGGCGTTAGAGCGTAGATGAGAAGGGGGAAGGGGAAGTCAGTAACGCACATTCCTCCGCTTAGGAAACTCCACTCTGACTTGACCACTTCAGGCTGCGCTACGTCGCCCCCGCGAACACTAGTGCAAAAGGTTTCACTCCTTCCCCCCCCCCGCCCCACCACACAAATATCGCAGCACCAGGCTTGTGCCCTTGGGCACTCACACGAAAGCTCGCCAACCCAAGGCATATTTGCAGCCCTATAGCTGGGTGGGAGCGAGCCACTGGGGCACGGACAGAGGTGCACACACACGATGACCACGCGCACACACACATCTCTCACATGCACACGGAGGAACACACGCATGACCACGCAGATGGACCCTGATAAGCGCAAGGGCTCACGCTGAGATGGCAGTATTGCTGATCTGGGGTCTTGGTGGGAAGAGGGACTATTCCCCAACTCCCATCCCCACTGGCCTCAACCTTCCCTCCCCCGCTTTCCCGCACCATTGTGCATAGCAATATTTCAGTTCCCTGGTTGCTAACGCATACGCACATCCATCCATCATCCACCCATCCATCCATCCATCCATCCATCCATCCATCCATCCATCCATCCATCCCTACTACCGCCACCTGCGGAACCTGGCTCTCCACCATACTGCCTCATACTGAGAAAAGATGGGCTTCTTTCATCTCTTTAGCTTGTGTGTCTGTGTTTGGTGGAGATCTCCTTACCTCCTGGGAAGCCAGCGAGGGAGGGGTCTCTCCCTGGTCGCAAAGTCTCCGGGCTGGTCTCAACGCATCCCTCGGGGTACTTGGCGAAAAGCGCTTCCGGGCAGAATTCGCTCATGTTCAGCATGGCGGAATGGGAGCCCAGGTTTCAAGGATGGGGAAGCGCACAGAAGGGGCCCTGGGGACCCTGCCTCTGGGAGGTAGGGGAATGACGATCCGTGCTCCCTACAGGTACTCTGCAGCGGGAGGGATCCTGCCTCCCAGCCTTGGGCTTTGAAGAATTGAGATCTGCTAGGCTGTAGGGCTTGGGGGCTCTGGGGATTCCCCCCTGGAGCGGCTGCTAGGGGTCCGGCCTCTGGCTCCTCGCGTTTAGTAAGGTGCAGCTCCTCTCCCCCAGCCCGCAGCCCCCACTTATATACTGGCTGCTGGGCTGGCGCGGGTCTTCCGCCTCCCGGGGCCGCTTCCATTTCTGGAGTCCCCGGCCCGGTCGCTGTGACGTAAATGCCCAAATATGGACACAGGATGTGGGCCAGGGAGTCCCGATAAGGAAAGCTCGCTGGGTGACGTAGCCCGCCCAGAGCTGGCTGTATGTGTGTGTGTGTGTGTGTGTGTGTGTGTGTGTGTGTGTGTGCGTGTGCGCGCGCGCGCGTGCGCGTGTGTGTGCAAACCTTTACATTTGCGCTTTTTGGGGAGGGGGGATGAGAGAGGGATAAGAGGNGTGTGTGTGTGTGTGTGTGTGTGTGTGCGCGTGTGTGCGCGCGCGCGTGCGCGCGTGTGTGCAAACCTTTACATTTGCGCTTTTTGGGGAGGGGGGATGAGAGAGGGATAAGAGGGAATGCTAAATCTGCCTAGGTGAATCTATGATCTCACACAGGAAACTATAAATATGTGTTTCCCTGAGTGTGCACCTGCTTGCGCATCTCTGCGTGTGTGCCACCTTGATGGCTGCTCCAACCACCCCCCTGTGGATCTGGGTTTTTTCCTCTGTGTTGGAGTGTATCGGTTTGCATTTGTGGCCCTGTGAGTGTGTGTATTCACGTTTGTTCACACCCCGATGTGGTGTTCTGCCTCTTGGCTTTTGGATTTTAAAAATATTTCGTCTTTTTATAATTCTCACCCCGCCCTCTCTTCCCCGCCCCCTCCACTGGGATACGGTCCAGGAAGTTCCAGGAGGAAATGATCGTCACTTGTTAAAAGTTGGGAGTTTCATAGACTTTGTTGCCTGAATGGGGGGAGAGGGAAAGAGGGGATGCAGCCCTGAGAGCGGAACTTCGATCTTGCCTATCCTGGAAAGCTGGAGAGTTGATGTCAGCCAGGGTGGATGAGAAGAGGTTGGATCATGACGGGCAGGCATCTCCCTCTCTCTCTCTCAGACCCCTTACACTTCTCCCTTCTGTCATGGCTCCTATTCTGCTCACTCCAGATGGGAATTCCAAGGTTTCTTCCTGCCTATGGTACCGACCAGGCGTGGGTCATCTTGTCCCATTTCTAGCCCTTGCACACTGAATTTTATTTAAGCATTGATTAGTATCTCCTATGTGCTAGGCATTTGACACACATAGACTAAAATGAAATACAAGCAAGTAAGGGATGAATTGGAGAGAAGAGGGACCAGAATCAGGAGGTCAAGTACCAACTTATTGCAACAATCCAGGTAAGAAGTGATGAGGGATAGACCATGGTAGAGGCTGGCTGGGTGGAGAGAGGGGGACAGATGTTGTGCCACCTCTCCCCTGATTTCCACAGCTATCGGTGCTCTTCACCCCTCCCCAATTACTCTGCATATATTTGTATCTAATTATTTGTGTATATGTTTTCTCTCTCTAGGATGTAAGCCCCTTGAAGCCAGGGCCTGTTTCCTATTTCATCTGGTACCCCAAGCACCAATGCCCCAATGGCTATCAAACTTTTTTTTTTCATCTGAACCTGTGACTTCAACTGCATAGGACATGCTGGTCTTCTTATCTTATATCCACTACGCCACACTGCCTTTCATCTGGTACACAGTTGGCATTTAATACATCCTTCTTGAGTGGAAATGAACTTTGTGCTCACAAAGCCTGTGCCCAGAGTAGGTCTCTACAACTTTCACATTCAACACCAGTCAACCTTACATTCTAATGGAGGAGACAAGAACATATATAAAAGTATATATGGACTCAAAAAAAAAGGAGAATGGTTGTCAACAAGTATGTATTAAGTGAGGTGTGTATTGTGAGGCAGCCGGTGGTCCAATGGTTAGAACACTGGACCTGGAGTCAGGAAGACCCGAGTTCAAATCACACGCAAGCTATGTGACCCTGGGCAAGTCACTTCGGTTGTGTTTGCCTCAGTTTCCTTAATTGTAAAATGGGAATAATAATATCACCTACCTCCCAGGGTTGTTGTGAGGATCAAATGAGATAATGTTTGTAAAGGACTTTGCAAATTTGCTGGCTATTATCGTTAAGTCCCTGCTGTGGGCCAGGTCCTGTACTAGTTTCTGAGGATATAAAAACAAAGAATGAAACAATCCCTACATACAAGGAGGTGACATTCTAGCGTCTGAATTAATTCTAAACCTCTGTGCTCTTGCTCCCCTCCCCCAGGGGCATGACCAGTGTCCAAGGATGATTCCAGGGGTCAGACTCCAAAGCCCCAGGGTAAGAGGTGCCAGGGCCAAGGCCAGGAGTGAGTATCCAAGCTTTTGCTCCTTTTCCCCATGGGCAGACAGGCAGAGCCTGAGGTGGGAGACAGCAGCCAGGCTCCTACTCTCATAGGGGCACCCAAGCCAGAGAGTTTTCCACCTGTCCTATAAGTTGAAACAGAAGAGAAAGAGCTAGGCCAGGCCCTCCTCTGGGCTACCTACTCTTTATCCATCTATTTACTTCAACACACATTCATCTACTCCTTCATGAGACACACCCTCAGTTCAATCATTGCATTCACTCACAAAGCAGCGCACACTAAGAATTCTCATCATTTTTACATGTGAGCTCAAGCAAACACACATACTCACATATCTCACTTAAGTCACTTGAAGCAAAGGAGTTGGAATCAGGTGGAGACCCTTAAGTCTGCTGTTGCCCTCTTCCTGGAGTCAAGTTAAAGATCCAGAAAGATCCTTTTCCATCTCCCTCCATGATCCAGCAAGTACCAAGATCAAACTCAGGCCAGGCCCCTTTCCCCCAATTCTAGGGCAACTCAAAGGGTCGTGAGTGGAGGACCTTCAGGCTATCACTGCTGACTTCTCCTAGGGTCCAGGCCAGAGCCTCAGGAAGGCCAAAGTAGTTTAAGCTCTGGACCTCTCAGTCATGCCCAGGTTACAAGTCCTAGGTGAGAAGGAAGACAGCCAAACACTAGGCCGCTGCTCTTATTTGAAAAGCAGCTTGATAAAAGAGAAAGAGATAGGCTAGCTTTTGGAAACATCCTCCCTTCACTCCCTCACCACCTCTGCAGAGACTGTCCTGTGCTAGGGAAGGGGATGTCTGATAGGAGCCAAGTGAGTCAAGAGATTTCTAAATACTGTCTTATCCCTCTCTAGAAGAGAATCCATTCCTATCTTCAGAGACAATTGGAGGTGGCTTCTGTGGATTTTCTCTAGAGTCCATGGCAAAGTTTCAGAAGGGCCAGGACAGCTTAGGGAGGCCTTCCTCAACCCCACAGTGGGCATCAGGGCAAAGGCAAACCAAATTCCACTCAAACTCAGGTGACAGCAGTGGTGGTGGCAGTGGGAGATTTTTCTGAACAAACAAAACAATGGAATTCAACATTTTATTTCATCCAGGAAGCACCCTCAATGGGCTGTTACCCCAGCCCCTGGATATACCTTCACATTATTCTTTTTTTAAAATTTGAAATTTAATTTGATGGCATCATAGCAAGAGTTGCAAGGTAGAATTTGTCTGGGGGGAGAGGAGGTTGACATTTGGGATGATTTTCATAGTCAGAGTAATAGTAATGGTAGAGAGCTAAGGGAGGGCAGAGAGCAACTCTCTGTGACCTTCCCCGGGGTCAAGGAAAAGGGGCAGGGAGTGACAGCAGTAAAGTCCAGGCCTGAGGTTCAGAAGAGCTGTGGACTTCCTCCTTCAGCCACTTGATGGACACCCAGGCGAAGATCAAAGTCAAAGGGGAACCTGTAAGAGCTTGTTTTCTTCTTCTTGTTCATCCTCCATTTTTTTTTTGTTTTCAGGCAATTGAGGTTAAGTGACTTGCCCAGAGTCACACAGCTAGTAAGTGTTAAGTGTCTAGTCTGAGACCAGATTTGATCTCAGGTCCTCCTGACTTCAGGGCTGGTGCTCTACCCACTGCACCATCTAGCTGCCCCCTTCATCCTTCATTTTTGAAGATCAATGACACCACAGAGTGATGTCTTGACTCAATTGTGTATTGGAGTTAAGTGAGGCAGAGCTGTGACAAGTCGTCAGCCTCATTCCCTCTTCCAGAGTCATTGAAGTCCAGCGGCAGGACAGAAGTCAAGATGGCTGGCGATGGCCTGAGATGCCCTGGATGACCTTGGTGTCTTTGATGGCTGACCCAGCTCTAAGCCCTCCATAGCCTCTGCTGCAGTTGCCTTCAAGGCTGTTGGAACAAATTATTCTCATCCACCCATTCCACTGCAGGATGTCTTCATATGCTTGGGGAGACATCCCCCTAACTCTCTGACATGTCTAAGGGCTCTTGGTTACCCTCAACCTGTTACAGCTCATCTGCTGAGATGGGTCACCAGGGTGTGGCCACTGTGTATGCTACAGCTTCTTGGAGCCACAGGTAAGAGATGGGGGACAAGTGGACACCAAAGGTGGATGAGCAGCCCTGAAGAGGGCTTGGTGAGCCCTCACCCCAGAGGTGCTAATCCAGGAGCCCAAGGAAGGGCATTACTATTGCCTTCAGGGTAAATACAAATCCTCAGTCTGGCATTCAAGGCCCTTTAAAAACTGCAATTCTAGGCTGATTTTACTTTGCTTCATTCACATCTTCATGAATTCTATTTCCCAGTCAAACTGGATGATCATTTGTTACCTGAATTCAACAGTAGAACATCTTTTGGAAGAAGGGACGTTTCCCCCCTCTTTGTTCTAATGCTAAGTACAGTGTCTTATAAATAGTAGGTACTTAATAAATATTCAAATAAATAAATTTAAATAT